AAAAAAAAAAAGAGTTGGCTTGGGAGCACAAGCTCTGAGCAGCAGGTCCACTGGTTCAGATCCCACATGGGCCAGTGACTGCACCCTCTACAGCTAAGATGGTGAACAACAACTCGACCTGGAGCTGGGCTGCCATGAGTCACCAGTGACGCATAGGCTGCAGTGGGCTGCGGTAAGCTACCGTGAGCGGTCAGCAGCCAGCATGAGCTGCTGTGAGCCACCATGAGCGGCCATCCAATGGCTGGTGACTGATCTGCCTCAGCCGGGAAGAGCGCAATGATCACAATACCAACATTGGCCTGTGAAGCGACGTCCTCCACAACTAGACTGAAGAACAAGAGGACAGCAACTTGTCTGTTCCCCTTCCCCGATTCCCCAACGCCGTTGTCTCCTCCAATTCCCCAATAAAATCTTTAATAAAAAGAGTAACCTAGATGCTTACACTTGTTCAGTTCCTGGAGTTTAACACTATAGAGTCAATTTGTATAAGGATACTCTGACATTGTATACCCAGAATATCAGAAAAATACAATTAAATAATTATAATTGAGCAGCTGCTGCCACGTAACTGTGTGTCACCTAATATAAAAGGCAGTCAGAGCACATCCAGGCACATGAAATAGCTTAGCTAGCAAGTGGAGCATTAGGGGTTACAGTAGCCAATGCCTTCTCAGTTTTAAACACTATGATATTAAGCCACAAAGCTTTACCCCAGAAGTATTGTGCCAGTTCAGGTACTGTACATCACTTATTCGTGGGGTCTTCCTGCAATAACCCTACTTCTTTACCGAAGCTAATGTGGGTGAATGACCAGCCTGCATATTTAATTTTACTCCCTATATGATTTTACATTTTATTTTTTAAAGATTTTTATTAAAACATAGCTAACATACAATATTATATTTCAGGTGTACACCATAGTCAGTCAACATTTATATACCTAAAGAAGTGATCACTGTAAGTCCAGCAACCATCTGACTTTACTTTTTTTTTTTTTAAGCTGAGCCATCCTGCCACCTGTTGGCAGCTCAGTGGCAGCTCAGCTCAGACCAGGAATCGAACCAGCAACCCTGTTGCTCAGCGCTCACACTCTTGAGTGAGCTCTTAACCAACAGAGCCACACAGCTGGCCCTGACATTACATTTTAATTTAAATACAATTTGTGAGTTCTCATGTGTAGCTACTCTTAATAAATACTTTGTGTTGTTTTTTTTCCAAGCAGTAAATATATTACTTTAGTTCTCTCAGAGTAAGATTAGAAAATCCTGGAATCTATTGGGTTTTGTGAGAAAAGCCATTTCTAATTAAACACTTCGGTTAGTCTATTTTTAATGCTGAGTATGTAATGAGAGAGTGGAATCTTTCCAGTAGGCTGATTAGAAATCTTTTCGTTGTGTAATCAAAATGAAGGATGACTTTTCTTTGTTTCCGAGTGTCTGTAGGATGACATTCTATGCCAGCTGTTGTCGATTTTCCTAACTTTCATGGGACATATTAGATCTAGCTGCTGGAATGTACACTTTAGTGGAATAAAGTAGTTGGATTCTTTCCTTGCCTATCTTCCAAAGAGGACAGTGTTGCCCAAACTATGTATACTTGTTGGTGGCACTAGAAGAACCTCATTATAGGTACAAATAACAACTTTGAGAATAGTTACCTGTGTCGGTGGAGAAAAGTATATATAATACACAGAACAGTGGGTTAAGATCTAGAATGCAGACATAGTTTCAGATATTCTGACATCTTTCCCTTCCTCAAATACTAGACTTCACCTTCCAGTCAGAATAACCCTTCACTACAGTAAACATTAAGGAAAAGGAAATAACCACAGGTCATCCATCTTACAGTGCATGCTAGATTTTATTTCAGTGACTCGTTTTTTTTCTTTCCTAGGCTTGGAGGCTCAGGGAGCAAATCTGAGTCAGGACACTTATGACTTCAACAAAGTCTAATTTTTCTAGAACCCGAGGGCAGTTACAGAGGAATTTGAGGCCACAGGCACACTTAACATTTCAGGTCTACTCTGGTTTCTTGTGTTTTCTACAGTGTCATACTAGATTAACAATAGCACATCCGGACTAAACCCTTGCACCCCCTCAATACTGCCATCTGGGAGAAAAGGGATTTTTTTTTTTTTTAGCCATTTACCTTTGTACTCCTAGAAATACTTTCAAGAAATGTAAAAATGAATACACAGATATTTAAATGTTAAACATTTATGTCTGTGGTAAAATAGTTAAGTTTCTTTATAATAGTAAGGTGCACAGTGGTGAACCAAATTTACAAGACAACATGACCATTCTCCTAATGTAATCATTGCCCATTCTAAAAAGGAGTTTATAAAAACCTTAATTACCTTGCCCTATTTGAGGGGAATCAAGCAACAAATAGACTGTCATATTTAATATGGATAAAGAAAATTTTTTTGTAGTCACTATATAACTAATTACTAATTTTCAGATTGATTTGGCATATTATAGATTATTTTCTGCTACTAACTACAAAATAAAAATGTTAAAAGTTAAAAAATCATATAGGTTCTAAAAGACATCAACAAAAATATTGAGTTGACTGTTGATTTAGAAAGCAACTTCTTAAACAATCAAGACTTAACTATATAAGGCTATGAGAATTCTAAGACTTCTGCAGTATAATTTGCTATATATTGAAAACTCATTCTTCATAATAGTTTTCAGAAGGCTTCTTGTCTCTTGTAAGTAGCTTCATTTTTTGGACACATTGAAGAATCGAGGTCTAATGTAATCCTTATACATAGAATAGAGAACACCTAGAAACAAAAAGATCTATATCATTAGAGTATCCATGGGAAACAAACACTGAATTTCTTCTACTTGCATTTCCCCAAAACTAGCCCACAATTTAAAAGCAAACATAATGCCTTCCATCTTATTAATTTTTGGCTTGGATCATACAAGTGGTTTCAGAAAAAAAACAAACCAACAACCTAAACAAAAAAACTAAGAGCCATTTAAGATCAGTATAAATCTAAGCTTATGATGTTATTATGCCACCCTAAATTTTGAATTTTGAAATATTAGTGAANCAAAGTTGTTTAGCTTGAAAATGAATGAGCATTTTGGCAGACCTGATATAAATGGAAGTATTGGCACCATTTAATAAAAACAAAGTTCAGGCACAGTGAACTAGCCCTGTCACCAGACACATGACAGAAAATCTAAGTCAGCGCTTCATTTGTCCTAGGAGTGTCACTAGAACTTCATTTCCCCCTTTCTCTGTTGCAAGCTTTCCCTGTCATACAGAAGCTGAATACTTCGGTAACACCGTGGAAGTAATCTGGGAATTTTGTTCTCCATGTTGTCCTTCCTCATTCAGCTCTCCCTTCTTAATCTGGGCTTAATTTTAAAACTAAAATAGGATGCACAACAATTTGAAGGCCCTGGTTTGAGACATTTCCTTTAGCCCTGCCCTCTGGTACACTTTCTGCTCCTTCATTGGTTAGGACCATTGAAATCTAAGTGTGTCAGCTTCTCATGACACCTTAGCTTATGAATGTTGAAAACAGCTAACACTACTATGTGTAGTCCTGGTCTGAGCACTCATGATCTCACTTAATTCTTATAACAAGAGGATCAACCTCTGTAGTTAAGGCAACTGAAAGGCCCCAAAATTAATTACTTCCCCGAATTTTACCTTGCTAGTGGGCAGTTGGCATTTGAACTTGAACAGCTCAACTCCGGGGCCTACGTTATTATTACCAAACCGTCCTAGATAATCTGTGGTGCACCCTTCATGCAAATTTAAGACACCAAGCTTTGGTGGTTAGCAGCACCAGAAACATCAAAGCATTTGCTTGATACTCTGATTAGCTCAGAAGTTGCCAACTTATTGACTAATTTTGTTTGGTCTGTGCCAAATTTAAAAAAAACAAAAACAACTTTGAATGCTTTCTGGCAGGTGTAGAAAATGGGCAGGGCCCTATGATCCAACCCCAGCAATAATTCAGAACTAATAGTTAAGTTTACTCATTTGCATTACCTCTCTGTCCCTGAAAGTATTTTAGCCTATTCCTATGCCATTTAGCCCCATTTTTCAATTTCTCAGCAATATGACAAAGTCTAATGAAAGAGTTCTGTCTACTAAGTCACCTTA